CAAGTCATGTCTACACGTCGCAGAGTTCGTGTACGGGCGTCAGACGATGAAGACGACGAGGAGCTGATTCCGCCCACGGCTGTCGAATAAGGAGCGGAGGCGCTGCCAGTGGAGCAGAGCGCAGTCGGGGCACGCGGCGCCTCGCCTTCGTTGGAAGCGCTCGTTAGGGACGCACACAGTCGTCTTGCTGACCTCCTTCAAGCCGAGATGCGTTCCCTGTCCTCGACGGCGAAGGAGGGAGCAGCGGAGTTGTACGGACGGGGCGACTTGGCCACCATTTCACTGAAGGCGGGAACGCCATTGACGCTGCTCCCGTTCGCGGCTGCCATTTTGCCACCGGTGTGGAGCGCTGAGCCTGCCAAGCTGGAAGCAGGGATGTCCTCGTCAATTGAAGTACAGTCGCTCCGCCGTCGACTGCCCTTCATTAAATAATTTGTTGCCACCAGTGGCGACTGGGTGGCGTTTAAGCAGCGGTTTCTCACCAATGCCGATCTGGCGGGATGGACGGAGGCGGACGCACTGAAGGCGCTGCCCGCCGCCCTCGACGACGATGCCTTGGCAGCGTTCCTCGCATCCCGCCGTCCGAAAGATCCACTCTCACGCAGGCGTTTGACCAGATGGCCGCTGTCTTCAAGCCCCCTTTGAACACCCGCCAAAAGTTTGTCGTAAGACGTAAGGGGAGGGTGAGTCGGCTCTTGCCTACCGAAGCGCTCCTGGCGCTGGTCAAAGGCCGCGTTTTCCAAAATGGACCATGATGGCCTTGACGCCTTGGTCCTCGAGAAGATGTTGGGAGTCGCGAAGTACTTTCATACTGTGCTTCCCGCCGAGGACGACGAGGTATCTTCACTTTGGATCGGCAGGTACATCCAGGTGCAGCAGACCCTGCAGCGTGACAGAGTGTTGGTGGGGTGCGCTACGTCCTCCACGGCACCCTCACAGATGAGGAGCCCGCTCCCGCATTCTCGCTGCACCAGCGGGGCAGCGACCATTTGGGTGACAGCGATCGGCGGCGGGCGAGGTCTGTATCATGCCGGTCCAGCAGTTGATGGGTCGTCTGCTACAACTGCGGGCTGCCGGGGCACATCCAGTCGGGCTGCCAGGTCCCTTGATGGCGGCTCCTGGGACGTCCGCCTTCCTACAACTCCCTGCTTCCTAAGGCGAGTCGCAGAGCACTCCACACTTGGCCCCGGGGTTCACTTCACTCATTGGGGGGGTCTGATTCGAATCGGGGTCACGCGCGGTTTCGGGGGGGGCATCGGTGCATGTTCGCGATGCGCGGCCGCTCCGACCTGCTCAGTCGTCGGAGCTGGCACATCGAGTGGTTGCGGCGACCGCGGGTTCATCGGCGGTACTGGGGTACATTGAGCGGGTTGAGATTCGCATGCTAGTTGACATTGGCGCTTCTTCAACCATTATTTCCGACCTCATTTTCAATATTTTGACCCCCTGGTGTCGTGTTTCGCCACCAACGGCGGATCATTGGGCATAATTGGTCGGATAACTGTTGAATTGCGCATTGCAGATGTTCAATTATTGGGCCATGTTTTGGTTTCCACGGCCCTAGCTGTTCCATGCTTGCTCGGGACCGATTTCCTCGGCAAGATGCCTTTGAACATTGTGTCGACCAGGGCTGTTTGGAATTGCAGTTGGGATGGCGTATGGCATTTCTCCCGTCTACAACCCGCATGTATTCCGCTAACGCTACAGTTCAAGCGGATTCCACACCATTCGGCACGCAAATGCTGGTGCCCCTTCGATTGCGTAAACCGCTCAATGTGCACGCTGCGGGGGACGGTATTGTGTTGGGTCCCTCCAATAAGCTTAGTCGGGGGATGTAACTCATAGCGGCTCAGACGTTGGTGTCCCAGGACCAGAATCCTTTCATACAAGTCCTTAATGCCGGATCGGACATGACGGTAATTCAGGAGGGTTCCGTGTTTGCGCATGCATCTCCGGCGCGTCGGGAGAAGGATGTCGTGGGGAATGTCGGGGTCGGCATCCGGGCTCACGGACCTCGGGATGTCAATGAGGGCTGGATTGATGGTCTGTGCGCTGAATGCAGCGATTTAACCGCAGGTCAAATGGGACAGTTGAGAGCGCTCCTGCAGGAATTTTCCGACATCTTTAGTAAAACTAAATACGATATCAGTCGCACGTCCCTTTTGAGCCATCATATTGACATGGGTGATGCTGCCCCAATTCGGCAGAATCCTTCCCACCTGGGCCTGGCCGAGAAGGAATGTTAGTTCGGCAGTCGATGAGATGTTGGCCGCAGACATCATCTCACCATCCACCAGCCCATGGGGTGCTCCGATAGTTCTTGTTTAAAAGCACGACGGAAGTTTGCGGTTTTGTGTTGATTTCCGCAAGCATAATAAGGTTTCTGTTGTGGATGCATACCCCTTGCCTCGTATGGATAATTTGCTGGATGCTTTGGCGGGCACGCGGTTCTTTTCCACCCTTGACCTCCTGTCAGGATTTTGGCAGATGCCGCTTGACGAGGCTTCATAACCCAAGACGGTTTTAGAACACCGCAAGGGTTGTTTTAGTTTAACTGGCTTCCGATGGGGCTCCACTCCGCGCCGGCCACCTTTCAGCGTTTAATGGAGTTGGTTTTATCAGGCCTCCAGTGGGATTTGTGCCTAATAAATCTGTACGTTATTGTCTTCGGTTGCACGTTTGACGAGCATCTGGATCACCTGCGGGCCGTTTTCGTTAAGATGCGTGCGGCCGACCTGAAATTCAAGCCCCAGAAAAGTCACCTACTCCAAAAATCTGTTCGGTACTTGGGCCATATAGTTAGCGAATCAGGCATCGCGACAAACCTGGAAAAAACTGCTTGCGTTTGGACGTGGCCGACCCCCACCTCGGCCAGTGAAGTGCGCAGTTTTATCGGCTTTGCTTATTATTGCTGGTTTGTCGTGGGATTCGCGTCTATTGTGAAACCTCTCCACGCATTGACAGCCAAGGGACAAAAAAATAATTGGGGAAAGGAGGAGGAGGCTGCGTTCCGCTCTATTCGTTATGGGCTGGTTAATGCCCCTCCCCTGCGTTATCCCGACTTTTCGTTGCCATTCGTGTTGGACATGGACGCCAGTAATACCGGCATTGGAGTGGTGTTGTCCCAGGTTGTCAATGGCGTGGAGTACGTGATCGCATATGGTAGCAGGGCGCTGTCTCCGGCCGAGCAGCAGTACTGCTTAACGCGTCAGGAACTATTGGCCATTGTGGTTTTTGTGCAATAATATCGGCCCTACTTGTACGGTAGACATTTCGAGGTGCGCTCCGACCACGCGGCACTCCAATACGCGCTATGTGTGGATCAGCCCTCAGGTCAATTATCACGTTGGCTTGAAATCCTGCAGAATTTTTCCCTCCGAGTATCATATCGTAAAGGTTCTCACCATACGAACGCTGACGTCCTATCGCAATTGCCCGCGAGCGGGGAGTGTGCTTGTTTTTCGGGTTCCGGTCGTTGTAGACCGGCCGAGGTGACCTCTCCCTCCCCAGCCCAGGCTGATATAATGGGGGCCCAGTGTGGGGCTCGGGGTTCTTGACTGTTGGTGAGTGAAGATCCACATCGGGTTGCCACGCGGTCCAGGACCCAGCTTGTAGTCCAGACCGAGATAGTGGGACCCTGTCTAGTTCTACCGTAGCGTGGTTAGATGGGCGTTCAACACCCGAGTGTAGGTTACGTTATGTTGTGTTGAGTTGATGTAATAAATAGTGTTGCTCTCAAGACAACATCTGCGACTCAGTTGGATTCACTACACATAATCAAACTCGGTTTATATATGTGCTTATTTTTTGTAAATTAACACTAACTAAAACAATAAGCATCCTATTGCTGGTAATCAACGTGTTTGGCGATGCTGTGTTGGCAGTGGTGCATAAGCACAATAAACAAAAAATATTCGTCAACAACACTGTTGCCTTCAAAGAAAAAATAAATAATCAGCAACGTTGAGGGTAATGGCCGTTTCTGTGCTATGAAGGACAATTTGCCTGACATGTCTAATTTATATCTTTTTACTTCATGTTTATTGTATACATTTTAATTGCAAGGAAAGTTTTGTTGATGAGTATATTGAGATCGATGTTAATTAAGCCAACTATTCGTATTTATTTTCAATGAAGGCTAAGTGAGAGCGTGGAAACACTCGCATGTGTAAAATCGTGAAATATTTCCAATCATACCTCATGCACATATAATTGGATTGAGGTACCAACCAATTCAGGATTTAACACAGTTCCTTAGTTTAGTTTTAAATGTACAGCACCATGTTACAAGGATTTTTTCAATTGTTTTATCTGTTATTGAATGCACACATGTGAAATGCAGTCCAGTATATCCCTAATGTCATTAAAATATAGCACTGAGTTCCAGAAAATGTCTCTTGCACCAGGTACACCACATGGAATACACATCTTGCTCTTGCTGGTACCGATCACACACTCCCTTCCTGGTCTACCTGTGCCATGGAAAATGTCCAGCGAGAAATGAAGCCCTGGCAAAAGTGACTCAACCTTTACGAAAATTGATTATTTCTCAGACCATTAACAGGCGCGCTAACACACAAGAAAGCAAAATATGTACCCATACAATCTCTTCAGATCCACCACAGGTACAGGTGCTTACCACAAATGAACCACAATACCTTGCTGATCTCGTCGAGGAGCATAACCCATCACGCGAACTCCGGTCATCCTAGCAGCGGCTTTTGGACAGACATCGAACAAAAACTTCACTGCATCGCGCACTTTCAAATGCGCTTCTGCGGTCATCTGGAATGCTCTTCCTTCCGATATGAGGAAGCAACCAGAGCTACGCACTTTTAAATCTAGATTGAAAACTAAATTCTTTAGAAATGCTTTTTGTGTTTAGTTTGTTGTCCTTTTCCCGTACCCCCGATTACCACGGGTGGCTACATAGAAAGAAACTCAATATACATACATACATGAATGCGTGTTAATTACCGTAGATGAGTATGTACACTCACCAGCATATAACGTTGTTACGTCTTCCTGAATATCGGTGAATGTTTCCCACTCAGGTTAGCGAACACGAAGTGGAGCGTAGAGTAGAAAAAATGCTCCCTGCGAAGCCGTGCTGCACACAATCTACCTGGCTTCTGTGGTGTTGACTTTTAAGATGTTCATAATTCCTTGGCCGCCTGATAGACGGTGGACATGGGCAGTTAGGTGGCCAATGGGAGAGGGTATATGGGTGGTGAAGATGTAATGACGTTTTGGGCACAGCAGGCACTTTGTATATTTACTGAGCTGGGTGTGGTGGTCTGGTGTAGGCACGACTTATTTGATTAAATTAAATGCGCATCAGAGATTGTCTACATTCGCAATTCAGAGGGCATAAAAAATGTATAAATAAAAATAGAAATGATACGTAAAATATGTTTAATGGATACGATAAGTTACTCAGAAAATGTATTCTATTTGAAATTTTCCACAACTTTATTTATTTTAGCGTGAACATTTATTCTCAACGACGTGTGCAAGTGTGTGACTTCCCCCACATTATGCTCTTTATGGAACATGTTTATTTCAATGGAATTATTTACTGAAAAGTTCTGGGGACATGCATTGCATGCAGCGCCAAAGTGTTGTGTATGTTATTCATGTCCTAACTGACCACATAACTATGACTTCTCTTGAGCCCTATCCTCCAAGCCACGCGCACCACCAGGGTGCAGGACGACCCCTCCCATATAGCCCTCGTGTGCACAGGGGAATCCGTTGCAGATAAAGTCTGGTATACCATATTCTTTGGGTCTTTCGGTAAAGCCACATCGATAGGAAAAATAATAAAAAATATCACGACGTTTCGATTGCAACACAATAAATCGTCATCAGGTGAAAAAATATCGAGTGAGCTGCTGAGGCAGGATGTCGTAAAGGTTTGCGATGGGTGTAGCCCAAGGGTCATAAGCGAAGTGGGCGGGGCTAGTGAAAAAATTTGCATGTAATTGTAAAATCGGAGAGCTGCGCTACCTCCACGACGACAAAGCTACGGAGGTGGCCATTGTGTTGTGATAAGCGAAGTGGGCGGGGCTAGTGCAGAGATTTGCATGTCAATGTAAGATCGTAGTGCTACCGCCTCATCAAGGAAAACGAGCAATGGTGGTGTGGGGGCTACCGTCCCCCGCCATCACTGAATTGTCGGGGCCGTTGCCCACCGACTCCCCCGTTCCATTCATACCGCCACCCCCCGGCTGCTCTGTGGGGTTCGGGCTAGCGACCTCCCCTGCCTCACCCTCCTGTGCTGCTGACCGCGTCAGTGTGTTTTGACCAATGGATAGGGCGCGTCGCTTTATGCTCGTGGCGTGCTGCTTGGTTGGGAGGCGGCGAGCTGCGGTGAGCGCTCGCCAGTAAAAACTCCGTCCCGCCCGTAAACAAACAGGCGCGGCGAGTGTCTCCCTCCCACCCACGCTCCACGTGCTCCGGTAATAACAAACACGCCTCTACCCCCTGCCCAGCCCCGTACACCAATCGCACGCGAGGGGGTTGGGGCCGAGGGATGGGCGGGCGGGACGTTTGCCGTGCGCGCGCCGCTGATTGGGGAGGGTCACCCAGCTCTGAGTAAAAGAGCCCGTTCGAACAGTCGCGCGAATACGCACGCGCTCGGCGCTTTAACTCGCTACTTCGTGATTAGCAATCGCGCAGGCACGCGACCACAACACCGTCGCACAGGCACACGAGCGCTAAACACCACCGAAAACAGTCGCTTGGGCATGCGCACGCTGAACAGCACACCCGTAAACAGCCGCGTAGGCACGCGCACGCTAAGCGCTCGGCCTCGATGTAAACAACCGTGCGTGCGCGCGACCACCAAGCACTCTTTACCCTCGTATCCGCCGCAAACAGCCGCGTATGCGCACGAGCACAAAACAGTACTGTACACACTCGTACCGGTACGCGAACACCAAACACTCCGTCTCCCTCCTCGTACTCACAGCGACCACGACACAGTTTTATCCTCTATTAGTGGTTTTATTCCCCGCGAGTATCCCGCTAACTACGTGTGTCTGTGCGAGTCAGCAGGCGCTCCTAGCCTATCCCTCGAGGATCCCAGATTCAGCTTATCCTGCCTATAGCTCCGCTTTCTACCCTCGATTCAATAGCCCAAACTTACCTCTCTCTCTTACTCATGCATACTTCCACTCTGCTGCGCTGGAAGCTGTAGGAAAGCAATCCGGAGAGGGTTGAGCCTGGCTGCGCTGAAGTTCGTCACGCGGACGCCTCGAACGGCTGACTCCCCTCCTGCGTGGACCGTGATGATTTTTGAAAAAGACTGCCCCTGCTAACCCCAGCCTCTGTGCTTTTATCCACTCTAAAGGCATTCCGGTGCTCCCGCACCCATGCTTGCCCTGTCCATTCAGAGGCCGAGTTATTCTCGTCTCATTGTTATTGAGTCCCTAATCTTATCTATAACAAAGGCGTATCGTCGTTCCCACGCCCCGTGCGGTCCATTCAGATGTCGGCTATTCTTACCCCTTTGTTATCTAGATTCCTGATCCTAACAAAGGCATTCCGATCCGCACCCCTTTGGCCTCCTGACTCGTGCTTGTGTGTGTGTGGTATCACTCGCGGTGGCTCAACGGCCTCTGCTGTGACCACGTAACTTTAATATCAGGTCACGGCGCCGCGGTCCATGTCAGCCACAGGGGGAGATCGCCCAATTCCCCGGCCGCAGGAAACCATGAAGCTTGATCCCATTAGGGGCTTCTGGATAAAAACCCGTCGGCCAGGTGATCTCCCCTTCCGGCTCTACGTGGGACGTGTGTGCGTTCGCGCGGCGGGGGGGGGGGGGGGGGGGGGTGGAAGCGAGGCGCGCCGCGTCGGCGTTGTCACCCCCCGGTGGTGGTGTCGCAGTGGTGGGCACGGACCCCGACGGAGCTACTCCGCCGCGGTGGCACCACAGTGGCTGTGTTAGTGAGACATTTAACCTGTTAATGTAAAGACATTTAACCTGTTAATGTAACACCAGAGAGTCTAAAATAACTGCTAAACATCACAGCCAGTTATGACTTAACCTGTTTAATAATGTCCTTCCAATTATTGCTCAGTTTGTACCCATATTCTCAGTTGAAAATGTATCTGTGTTTATTTATCTGGATGGCTTCATTAACGCTGATAGCGAGTGGGTTTGCAAACTACCTTCGTCTTGGATAAAAATCTATTTCGTGTGTGCCCACAGCATTAAAACAACGATAAGCTATGGCTGAGGCATTGGTTCTACCGTGTTTCAGATCTGCCTTATGTTCATGAGCACGGTCCGAGACATGTTGCTTAGTTTCCCCAATGTAACTACTGCCGCAGACACAGCTTAGTTTGTAGATGCCGGGGTATTGAATGTCAGGGACCAAATCCTTCACAGATGGGATCAGATCACTAATTTTACGTACTGTGTTGAATCGAACCTGGAGCTTGTGTTTGCTCATGATTTTGGAAATATTTTTGGTGACACCTGCTATAAATGGCAAGGTGATGGTTTTGATTGGTTCCTCAGATGGTTATTTTCCAACGGTTGGGGTGATAGCTTTACGGATTGTGTAGTCTGAATATCCATTAATCTTGAGGGCTTTGTGTACGTGTTCCAGTTCACTGGCTAGGTGGTGATGGTCAGAAATACATCGAGCTCTATGGTGTAGAGTTTTGATGAGGGAATTATTCTGAGATGGATTGTGGCGGGAGTCACGTTTTAGGTAGACATCTGTATGGGTGGCTTTCCTGTAGACAGCGTGTCCCATTGAGCCATCTGGTCTCTTTTCGATTAAAACATCCAAGAATGGTAACTTGCCATCCTTTCCACCTCCATGGTTAATTTGATGGCTGGATATATGGAATTGATGTGGTTGAAGAATTGGTCCAGAGCTGGTAGGCCATGTGGCCAGATGACGAACGTGTCATCTACGTACCTCTTCCAAAAGGAAGGACGTAGGGTGGATGCCTGGATGGCATCTGCCTCAAATTTTTCCATTAAACATTGGCTACAACTGGAGATAAGGGAGAACCCATTGGAGTACCTTCAACTTGTTTGTAGAATGTTACATTCCAGGTGACGTAAGTGTTGGTGAGGCAGTGTCTAACCAGCATTCAGTCCTTGTTGGACCAAATCTTCAATGATTGCAATGGTGTCAGGAACAGGAACTTTGGTAAACAAAGATACTACATCGAAACTGAGAAGCAGGTCGTCTGGGGACAGGGAAATACCCTTGATTGTCGATACCAGGTGAGTAGTATTTTGTACCGCAGAGGTGGTCTTTCCAGTGAAAGGACGCAGGATTTCAGACAAAAAACGAGCAAGTTTGGAAATAGTGAGATGTCCTTTATTTACGATGCCAAGTGAGCTGAGTTAAGTGCAGCTGAGGTGGTCTTACCAGTGAATGGTTGTAAGGTCTCAGACAGAAATCGGGCCAGTTTGTAGGTGGGTGAGTTAATGGTGGAGACGATAGGCCGAAGTGGTGTACCTTCTTTTGAATTTTTGGTAAGTCATAAAATCTGATGTCGAATCAGTGGTGATATTGGTGTACCAGTGCAGGCGGCTCTACAGGTGAAGCCTTCCTTCGGTCTCCTCTTGTGGGCAGTGGTAGTGTAGTGGGTAGCGCACTGGGCTATGAACCCGGCGTCCCGAGTTCAATTCCCGCTCATGGCCAATACCGGTGACGATTATCTGAACCGATCCTGGGCCTCCCCTAGGTCGACTCAGCCTCATATGAGTACCTGGTACGGTGTGTAAACATCTCCACTGGGGAGAAAAAAGCCTGCAACCTCCTCGTGTGTCGTGCCGGCCTTCATATGTGACTGGCATTGACCAAACCTCAAAATACAAAAAAATAAACCTACAAATTACTCAACTAGGATTAACATCACAACCATCGTCCCCTCACGCGAACACACCATCTTGGGCTTTGTCCTTTGGCTGCTATGCGTTGTGTTGTTTAATTTATTTTTTTCATTCTTTTGATCGTGGGTTTACAGCACTGTGGATTCTATCTTTGGCCTTGCAATGTCTTTCTCTTTTATATATCTATTTATTTCTTCACCCTAGTTTAAATTCCCTGATCATTACAATGTAAATTAATTCGTCATTTTGGTTCACTTAGAATTCGATTTAGAATCGGTTAAGATTCACATAGATTTTTTTTGTCTTAACTGCCATGTTTTTTTCTGCTTGTATATTTATTAACTTTTTCCTCTGTTGCAATATGGAAATGCGGCTTGCATTGCACTAGCTCACGATTATTTTCTGTGTTAGATGTATTGAGGACAATGACATCTTTGTTCATAATCACTATATGCCTTACACATCCATGAATGATTTAAACTATATTCAAGTAAAAATACTAGCAGGAAGCCTTTACAGGAAGGGACATTAACGGGCTATTGTATTGCTCTTGTTCCCTTTCTGGCTGTGAAATGGTGATTCTTGTTTATACCAAAAGATGTCTCCAACTACAGTAATACCCCCGGGTGTGCGGGGAAAAATATGCCAGGGTTGGGAGATGCCAACTACCTCACGTGGTATACAAGAGGTCGTGCCTCACATGGTATACAAGAGGTCGTGCCTCACGTGGTATACAAGAGGTCGTGGGTTTGATCCCGACCCTGATGATGCCTGTATATTTGGAGTTTGCGTGTCTCTCCCCCGTGGTCGTGTGGATTTTTCTCCGGGTCCTCCGGGTTTTCCCTCCACATTTATAATCAACGTTCATGTAAAGTATTTGGCGGCTGCTATACATGCCACGTGTTAAGCCACCTAGTTGAGCTATCATTTGTGGCCAGGTCGCTTCTGAAAAAAATCTACATAGCTCAGTGGACCTTACCTGGTAAAAATAAAAAAAGTTTAATTGTTTGGATATAAAGGTGTCCACGTTTACCCAGTTTCCTGGCTATCAAACAACAACAGGGAGTGTGGCTCTGCTTCCGAACATAATAATGAAGTGGGCGTGGGGAGCTTTGTGGCGAGTCTCCAGGCTGTTGTGGGCTCGCCTCCCCAGGAGGTGAAGAATGGCGGTCGAGCCTTATGCTCCCAGCAAAGATGAGCATCAGTGGAGGGACGCAGACATGGCCGATAAGTCAGATGTCTTTCATAACCTGTTCCAGGTGCTGGTTAAAGTGGCCTCTCAAGTTAGTCACCTTATTGGGTGACGCAGACACCTGGGCCAGAGTGATTGGTAGGCTTGGGCCAGATCAGCTCAATAACAACGATAGGAAGCTGCTAGACTTCTGTAGAGCGCATGGGATTGTAATCACCTGCACACTTTTCCAACATCGGCACATCCACACAACATGATGGATACACACCGGGTCCAAGCAAAAACATCTGTAGGACGATCTAGTGAGGGAACAGTGAATGCCGGCCCATGTCCTTGAACCAGGACCTGCTTTGTAGCTGATCTGTCTACTGACCATCAGCTTGTCATCTGTAAGAGATGCCTGTCATTCTTCTACTGCCATGGTGGGAATCCACCTAGAATCGCGTTCAAATACACAATCGCCTGGTCTTGTCTTGCTGATGAAGGTTACAAGTGAGAATTTCGTAATCGCTTGCAACTAGGGTTGGCATCATTCCCTCGCTCCTCCTGAGACCACGTGAAGTGCCAGGCAGAGATGACCCTGAAAGCAAACTGTTGAGGGAGGGTTGTGTTTGCGTGCATGAGTTTTAAATAAGAATTTTGTTTTATAAAAATGGAAAAACTCAACACAATCATCAATAATACTCGTATGTACACTCACCAGCATATAATGTTGTCTACCCATATAGTCGACAACATTTTGGGCAATGACCCAACTTGATAGCACGTAATGAAGAGGCCAGAGATATTGGCAAATAATATATGAAGACTGCACTTTACACCATGGGCCCTCATGTGAATTACATTTTGTAAAATGTTTTCTGCTGGCCAGTTTTTAAATCCGGCATATAAATAATGTACACTATAAGTAGCTAATGGATAACGGACAAACCAATGATCAAAAAGTATTTACTATTCAATAAACTATATTAAAAGTAATTAGGAAAATGTGTTCTTCCGAGCACAAGGCATAATTAAATGTACGTGCCCCCAATATTCCTGAGGTGGAAAAAATCTGCAATAAAAAAAGTGAGGCATACATATAAGAATGGCATTTATATTCCCACCAGAGATCAAGATAAAGATCCCCCGTATAGTTTTACGAGACTGTAAGGGCAAGTGCATTTAGCGAGCACTTTATGAAGGCCAGTACAGCACAAGAGGGGGTGGGTGGTCAGCACCACGCCCGGCCACCTTTGTCCCCTAGTGGCGGTGTTTACACACCACACCAGCTACTCAGATGGCTGAGTCGACCTAGGGGAGGCCCAGGACCGGTAGAAATAATTGTCACTGGTGTTGGCCGTGAACGGGAATCGAACTCGGGTGGCTGGGTTCATAGCGCAGTGCGCCAACCGTAGCACTACCGCTCCCCACCGGAGATCAAGACAAGGCTACTCACCAACACGTTACTGGGACTGTGGTTCCCGCTGTTGAAGTGACGAGCCACCGGTTTGGACGTCTGCCCGGCAATGTGACAGAAGACGTTGAACAAATCTATCACCGAGGTGTTTACCAGATTCTCCAATGTAGAAATAATCCATCACCAAATAATTGTTTTAATGGAGTAGCGACACTTTTTTTGCACGAAAAAAGTAGCAAAATACAATGCAGACAAAGAGTCCTGCTTCCAAAGTGACTTTCTATTTTATTTTGATTATTGTTAAACAAAGGCATGAACATAAACAAAATGAAACGTCTCAGATTTTCTAATGACATGTCATTATAACAAAAGGAAATCAACTAACTACCTGTACAACAATCGACTGAAGAACCTAATGAATAAGTCTGCAAAGCTCGCCTCAAGATACCGCCAATGCTGCATGAGCACAACTAAGTGCATGGAACAAGTTCACGAAACAATTGAAGATATCGGAGGGGTACAAATAGAGAACAAATCCGAGTATGCATATCTCGGGCAGTTATTGTGGAGGCTGAGGTGGAAAACAATGACGAGCGGGAGGTGCATCGTTGGTCGACCTTCATAAAGAGCGAAACACACACACGTGTGCCTGATGATGAGAACTGTTGTGTTCAGTGTACACAGTCCAGTGTTGCCTTCTATGACACATGGCAGTTACAGTGACACGCTTATGTTGTCATAAAACTGAGCACAAGAACGGTCCCATTGTCCCGACTGTCGATTAATAGGGCTCAATAAACAGGCCTAGTTAAAACATGCGGTGCCTTTGACCGTGATACTCTTATAATTAGAGGCGTATTTTTAGTTTTATCCTTATGCATTCTGCAAACCTTTTTTTAACTAAACACATTTAAGGAATGACAAAGCAAATGTGAAGCTAAATGATTGATTTAAGAATCTAACGTTGTCCAGAAAAGGTGATTAAATGGAGCAAACTGGTAGCTCATAGGCGTCACGGTGACGAGATGTTAACTATCTCGCCTGTTATTATTATTCTTAGTTCTTTACCGAAAGAACTAAGAATATGAATTACTGCAGTCAGGAAAGCTTTAAATCAAAATTTATCTCGCCTGTTGTAAAGGAGGTCGTGGGTTCGATCCCAACCCTGACGCCTGCTGTATATTTGGACTTTGTTCTCCCCGTGGTCGCATGGATTATTCTCCGGGTCCTCCGGGTTTTAGCTCCACATTTAGAAACTTGCGTTTAGAGTATTTTGACTGCTATACATTTCCACGTGATAAGCCACTTCGCTGAGCTATTATTTGTGGCCAGGTCGATTATGAAAATGAGCTATACAGCTCAGTTGGCGTTACCCGGTAAAGTAAAACATAGAAACTTTAAAAACAGTTTAATAGCTCACTTCCTTGGACAGCGCACAAAAGCTGTGACTCATGTTTTGCAAAAGTAAACACATTTCAACATTCCCGACAATGATTTACTGTGTTTGTCACAATTTTTTTAGCAACAACGAGGGCACATTACACGGCCTTCTTTGACTGAACAATAGAAAATTCCCACCGCGTTGGATGGCTTCAGCATCTCCGCACCCCCCACCCCCATCAACACTGCCCGTGCACTCTTGTTAAAGATCACGGGGGGGGGGGGGGGTATTTAATGCATTCAAATTACAATTAACATTCCGCCAATTACCGCACACGATGTGTTTAGATGCATTATCAAGCGTAATTCCATGCCTTTTCTTTAGAACTAGTTGTGGGATAAGATGTTCTTATTGCATAACAAGTGCCGCTGAAAGATTAGATTATGGCTAATAATTTCTAGCAATGGGCTTCTGTACGGTATTGCTCCTGTGGGTATAGAGATGGTGAATCGTCTACACATGGTAGAGATAGTCACTGCGTTAGGGTAAATGTGGAGCCCTGCAATTGCTGGCTCACGCCACTGCTGGCGGAAGGGGCCTCCACTGGAGGGCAGCTCCAGAGAGCCGCCACCCTGGAGTCGATTTGGCCAGACATCTCGGAAGAGGCTGACGCACCCACACCAGGGGGTCGGGCAACCTGCGGCTCCGGAGCCGCGTGCGGCTCTTGAAGGACTACGTCGTGACCGTTGGTTATTGTGGGCCCCCTTCTCGTGTTCACACGCTTTGCGGCGCTTGAAAATACTGAGTTGGGTGGACAGAAGCGGTGGTGGGAGAGGATTTTAAAAGACTTGCCCCATTCTTGGTATATGAATCCCTGCATTCACGAAACCTTTAAATCAAAACTTGCCCCATTGTTTCAACTCGGAGATGGAATCGAACCCAGCGTCCTCCGGATTGCAATTGCTCGTGCTGAACCAATGCTGCAGAATGTTTGCACTCCTAGTGGCTGATGGGTCGTGTAAAATATACAGTGCAGTACAGTAATGTGTTACACCACGACAGGACACCCTCTATATGACCCCCCCCATCCCCCACTATGAATTCCTGCGTGAATGTGTCCTGGAACACTGCGTTACAAACTGCCCCGACTCTTCCCGTGCGGAAGTTAAACATTTGGCTTTGGCTTGACCCGACTGCGTCTAGGATTTACTCTGCTCATGCAAGAAAGAAGCTCAACATACAGACAGATAGACATCGAACGAGTGTTCCAGTTGAGAGCCTTAACCCAGTGGGATAGGGGTGGGTGTGCTCTGTGTAGGAGGACGAGGGAGGAGTTGAGTTGATTGACATGGCCATAACATTCCACACGACGTGCAGTAGTAGCACAGAGCGAGAAGACCTCGTCTATAGGGAGGTCTACGTAGTGTGTATCAGAATCAAAATCGTTATTCATACTGGAGGAATCCGATGAGCTTTAATGCTCTTTTGCATAACGTTACATAAACAAACACTAAAAAGGTCTACGTAGTGTGTATCAGAATAAAAATCGTTATTCATACTGGAGGAATCCGATGAGCGTTAATGCTCTTTTGCATAACGTTACATAAACAAACAATAAAAACACATGATAGGAGTGCAAAGCATAGCAAAGGTAAATAACTTTAAATATACGTACAAATGAAACTAAACTATATTTTTTTTATCTTAGATAAAGTCCACTGAGCTATTCGTGGAGTGCACCATGGGGCCACGCGCCCTGGCTGCACTGCTGCTGGTCGTGGCTGTCCCTTGGACGGGCGCTTTCTTCCCGAACGCCGCCTCCCTGGGTGGCGTGCGAGCCGACTTCACGGACGAGAGCATCACGGAGCAGGGCGTGCTGCGAGCCGTGGCCTTCTTCCTGGAACGGAAGGACAACCTGGCGAGTGGCTCCCTCGAGACGCTCAAACCTCTCACTCCGACAAGGCTCTTCCAAGAGTACAACAAAGGCAAGCGGCGTGCGACTCACGCGTGCATCACGCATGGCGCTGTAGGGGCGCTGTAAGGGCGAGATGTTAACTACCTCGGCTGGTATATAGGATAGTCGTGAGTACGATCCCGACCCTGACGCCTCTTTTATATTTGAAGTTTGCATGTTCTTCCGGTGGTCGCATATATTTTTTGTCTGGGTCCTTCGGTTTTCCCCTCCACATTTAGAATCAACGCGCATTTATTTGGCTGCAATAAATGTCCACATGATAAGCCAAGTTCGTAGATCTATCAGTTGTGGCCAGGTCGCTTCTGAAAGAGAGCTGTATAGCTAAGTGGTCCTTACCTGGTACAATAAAAAATAGTTTTTTAGTAGTTTTATAGGAGGAGGCCCGAGTGCAGTGCTGCTCAATGTTTTCCGGCTCTGCATGCTTCCGAGCTGGCCCCATATTCGCAGCACACTTTGCCGCAATGTGCGTCGCCTGCCATCATCCAGCACTCTTGAGGCACCAGATAGGGTTGGTGTATCGTACGCGAATGGTGTGAAACTCCCCTACCGCGCACCACAACAGATGGCGGTACATCAAAAAACGTGAAATCCACTTGTTCTGTGGGAGTGGGAGGCTGAAGAAACTTGGAGATGCAGATATGAAGGGAACACACATGTTTATATATCTGGATGGCTTCATGAACAAACCTTTGATAATAGCCCGAAGGTTTGCAGAGTACCTTGGTCTCGTAAAAAACAATATCATGAAAGCCCCCCTGCGTTGTAACAATGATCAGTCACGGCAGAGGTATTGGTTCTGCCGTGTTTCAGATCTGACTTGTGCTCGCGAACACAGTCCGAGATGTCGTTTCGTTTCCCAAATGTAACAATCACAACAGGTGCAACTTAGTTTGTAGACTCCAGGATATTGCGTGTCAGGAATGACATCCTTCACAGATAGGATTAGATCACGGATTTTGTGTACTGTACTGAATCGGACCTGGATATTGTGTTTGTTTAAGATTTTGGAAATCTTTTTGGTAACGCCTGCTATGTATGGTAACGTGATGGTTTTGATCGGCGTCTCAAGGGGTTGTTTCTCCATGGTTGGAGAAACAGCTTTGCGGATAATGCAGTCCGAATACCCATTCATCTTGAGGGAAAGCCACCCACACAGATTACGATCTGAAACCTGATTCCCACCACCATCCGGCACAGAAGAATTCCCTCATCAAGACACGACACCATAGGGCCCACTGCGTTTCTGACCAACACCACCTAGCCAGTGAACTCGAACACGTACACCAGGCCCTCGTCTATGCCTTTTGCAGTGCCAATGATTTGGAGAGAGCCAACAGATCATATCAGCAATTGTTACTTCTGCATGGCGCCTCCAGTTGGGAAAGGTGTGTCAAATGAAAAAAATATTATCCAAACATTCCATCAGCTATACGCCCAGTATCCCACGGAAAAGGGCTGCCGGTTCCTGATGCACCAGAATCATTCTCATTTGAGTCAAACGAGGAAGAGGATACAACTTCTGGACCTGAACCATTAAGGTCACATGACCCAGATCTTCTCCCATCCTTTTCCTCTGAACCACACCTCATAACACAAGGTGACCTGAAAGACCTTGTCAGGGATTTGGAACTAGCCAAGAGTAAGGCAGAGCTGTTGGGCTCCAGACTGCAGCAGTGGAATCTCCTGGCAGGTGATGTGAGGGTTTCCATGTTCCGTGACCGTCAAAAGGATCTTGTCCCATTCTTCATGGAAGGTGATCTTGTAGCTTGCAACAACATCGATGGTGTGATGGCAACCCTTCAACATCGTTCATGATCCAGATGAGTGGAGACTGTTCATTGGGTCATCGAAGATGAGTCTTAAAGCTGTTTTGCTGAATAATAGCAATGTTTTGCCATCAATTCCAGTTGGTCATGCAGTCCATATGAAGGAGACCTATGACAACATGAAACAATTTTTGAGGTGCATCAACTATGACCAACATCAGTGGCAGCTTTGTGGTGATTTTAAGTTTGTTGCTCTCTTGCTTGGTCTGCAGACAGGATACACAAAGTACTGCTGTTTTTTTCTTCTTTGGTTCTTTCGGTAAAGTCACGTAGAATGAGAATAAAATAATAAATTGATAAAATAAAATAACACAATAATATTCTCACGACGTTTCGGCCACAACACAAGCGGCCTTCATCAGGTGAAGGGACGAGACTGCCTGGAGGACAGCGCTGGAGTGAAAAAGGCACGCTCAGATCGTGACCTTTAAGCTGTGTGAGAAGAAACAAAGCGCCTTGACAAAGGAATTAGCATAGAATTTAGCATTGAAATGGCTGAGTGATTAGCTTGTGACTGGTCACAGAAATGGCTATGTTAAAGTTAAAGCATACACATCCGCAGAGGCACTCCTGCTGTTTTCTCTGCGAATGGGATAGTCGTGCGAGAGATTCCCACTACATCAAGACAGATTGGCCACTCTGACAGTCATTGGAGCCTGGGAGGAAAAGTGTTCAGGATCCACCACTTGTTGAATCAAGGAAGATTTTGTTACCACCCTTACACATCAAACTGGGTCTGATGAAGAACTTTGTCAAAGCCATGGACAAAACACAAGCAGCTTTCAAGTACCTCAGGAAAATATCCAAGGTTAAGTGAAGCTAAGATAAAGGAAGGTGTCCTCAGATTCGTGAACTTCTTCAAGATGATGCATTTGACAGTGCACTGTGTGGCAAGGAAAAGACGGCATGGAAAGCCTTCCAGTTAGTGGCAACACATTTTCTCGGAAACAACAAGGCAGACAACTACAGGGAGTTGGTGGAAAACCTCCTCAAGCATACAAAAGCCTTGGTTGCAACATGTCACTAAAGATTTTTTGCACTCTTATCTAGATATTTTCCCACCGAACTGCAGAGTCGTGAGTGACAAGCATGACGAGCGATTTCACCAGGACATTGCAACAATGAAGAAACGATATCAGGGCAAATGGAGCCCATCAATGCTTGCAGACTATTTCTGGACAGTGACAGGAGATGCTCCATTTAATGAATACAAGAGACAAGCCAAGAAGCACCGAGTAGACACTATGTACTTATATATACGTAATAGTTTTTGCCTTTTGTTTCATTATACATTTTATATTTATAACCCTTTTGCTGATTTTTAAGGTGTTACATGAACAGGACAGGTGACATTATCATGTAAAGCAACCAGAAACACATGAAAAGACCGAGGTTTATAATTTATGAGTAAAACTCTACCATGCACACAATATACATAGACAAAAATGTAAAAACTTAAATTTATTGGGAACAGTAGCCAATCAGTTATTTGAATTGTCATATTTGAATTCAGCACATCAAAATCCATAATAAACAGCACATTTCACCTCTCTGAATCAGACGACGTCTAAAAAATTGTAGACCGGGGTTATTATTGTTGAGAGGGCCAGGGGTGAGGACGGATCACCATCTGCTGTGCTGCGCCACGGAATGGCATGGAGAGAGTTCCTCTGTCCTACCTTGCAAACAGTGAAGTGCGAAGCACAGCTCTTGGTGAGACCATGAGGTAGTGCAGTGGTGGCAATAAACAAACAATCGCTACGTCTCCTTTACATCACATCTGTCCCTCCGAATATAGTACACTATGTTATATATAATATAGTGTACTATATTTTATATATATAAACACATCCAACCAGCTATGTGGCCTTGTGGGAGTGCATAATTTCAGCAGCATCGGTTCAGGCCAAGCAAGCTCTTGACCGATTATAGACATTCTTTGTCTCATCATCAGCTTGCTTGAACCAACGCCTGGTGGACTACCAGATATATATTTTTTTATGATGTGGAGGGACAGATATGGGAAGGATGCTTGTTTGGGGGCCGACGTCCAGCCCACCGCCCTCGCAAGGCAGGTGGGGCGCGACGCCCGCCCACTCCGCTCCCTCCTCCACCACATCGGTCGGCTCCGGCCGGGTCCCCGCCGACCGAGTGATCGGTCCCCCCGTGCTAGTGCCCTCTCTGATGGACGTACTCATACTGCTGGCTCTCAGCCACACGGAGTTTAACCCACACACCCGTGCACACCGCAGCTATCGCTAACCTGGCGCACAGTGGTACGCTCACACCTGCGTGCGATTACCTCAACGTGCGCCCGTTTAAAAAAATTGTAACCTTAACTTTACGATAATAGCCGTTTGAAACTATGATTAATTTAAAGAATGCTTTAGCACCAATAAGTACCCTCCGCTCTGTGATCCGTGGTACTTTGGACCCTGCTTCCTGAGCTGGTTGCTGGTATGTCGCCAGGCGGTGTAAAAAAAACTCTGCAGTGGTTGACCTGCATGGGCATTTGGGCTTCATTGCATTTCTGGGCTGGAGCAGCAAAAGCCCACCATTCACACGCGCTGCTTGGCGCCCGGAGGATTCCATGTGTAGTGGCATCGGTGGAGGCCACTGCACGAGGTATAAGCCGGCCGTTGTTAGGCACAATGCGCGCCGCTCACACCAGCCACATGCAGTGCTAGCCTCTGGCTGTTAGGGGGAGAGAGTGCCAGGGACAGCGCAGGTGTTCACCGGGGGCCATGGCACTCCAGGTGAACTCGGAGGCCTGATAACCAGAGGTACCGGCCAAGGGGCCCCAAGGAGGGGGCTGGGGGGGACCACGGGACCAGGACCAGGTCCCTCTCGAAGGCTCGAAAAGGGAGCCGTGGCTAGGGGCGGAGGCAGGTCCGGGACTTGCAATAAAAGCCGGACCCCTGAACGGGTCGGGGGGCTGTTGCAAGACTGAAGACAGAAGCCGTCACCCGGAGAAGACCTGCCGGACTACAAGACCCAGACCCGAGCCAGGATCCGGTCCGGGATAGCCACCCCGTGTGAGCTAGGGTGAGCTAGGGTGAGCTAGGGTGAGTGAGGGTGAGCTTGGGTTAGCTAGGGTGAGCTAGGGTGAGCTAGGGTTAGCTAGGGTTAGCTAGGGTGAGCTAGGGTTAGCTAGGGTGAGCTAGGGTGAGCTAGGGTTAGCTAGGGTTAGCTAGGGTGAGCTAGGGTTAGCTAGGGTTAGCTAGGGTGAGCTAGGTCTAGCTAGGGTGAGCTAGGGTGAGCTAGGGTTAGCTAGGGTGAGCTGGGGTTAGCTAGGGTGAGCTAGGGTTAGCTAGGGTGAGTTAGGGTTAGCTAGGGTGAGCTAGGGTGAGCTAGGGTTAGCTAGGGTGAGCTAGGGTTAGCTAGGGTGAGCTAGGGTGAGCTAGGGTGAGCTAGGGTTAGCTAGGGTGAGCTAGAGTGAGCTAGGGTGAGCTAGGGTTAGCTAGGGTGAGCTAGGGTGAGCTAGGGTTAGCTAGGGTGAGCTAGAGTGAGCTAGGGTGAGCTAGGGTTAGCTAGGGTGAGCTAGGGTGAGCTAGGGTTAGCTCGGGTGAGCTAGGGTGAGCTAGGGTGAGCTAGGGTGAGCTGGGGTGAGCTAGGGTGAGCTAGGGTTAGCTAGGGTGAGCTAGGGTGAGCTAGGGTTAGCTAGGGTGAGCTAGGGTTAGCTAGGGTGAGCTAGGGTTAGCTAGGGTTAGCTAGGGTGAGCTAGGGTGAGCTAGGGTTAGCTAGGGTGAGCTAGAGTTAGCTAGGATTAGCTAGGGTGAGCTAGGGTGAGCTAGAGTGAGCTAGGGTGAGCTAGGGTAAGCTAGGGTTAGCTCGGGTGAGCTTGCCCAGAGGAGACACCTCCCTAGGGTAGCTGGTGAAGGGGCAGTTTTACAACTTTGTGTGTTAGGGCTTATTGTGAAATAAACGTGTTGCCTCCAGAGAAGTCTCTGCCTCCCTCGTGTGAACCACTACACGTGCAACGGCACCAACTTCCTGTTTTGAAATGGCACCAAGTAAATAAAAACATATAACCATTCTAGATAAGTTCGTTGCAAAGCTAAACAAACTTAAAAGTTAAACAAACTAAATATCTTGAAGTATATGAAAACATTTTTAATTTAAGATTTTTAAAACATATTTTGCATCTACCGTGCCTTGTATTGTATACGTTTTAAACGTTTGAGTTATTTATTGTGTCCATGTTCCATTCTCATTGGCAGGTGACAAGTCACCGGCATCATTTTTGGATGCCATACAGGATATTATAAGAGGAAACAATTTGATTGAGACGCTGTACCCCAATAATACCTTCTTGAACGTGCACTGTGAAGCCTTTCAAGGAGGTAACACTATTAAGTTTGGTTGAATATTTGAAATTATTGTTTATAAGTGTATGTTATCTTATTTAAAGTGTTTGTACAGCATGCTTGTCACTACGACGGGAAACGAGGAAGCTCTCGTGGTATCTACAGTGCACAGCCCTGCACAAAAATATCACTCATGACACCCCACGTTTTTGGCACCTGTGTAGAGACATTTGCTTGGATTTTTGTGACGTGATTTATTTTGTTTGATTATTTATCTTTGCGTGTGACAACGGTGAACACAGCAAGGAAAGAGCTGAATAAGTTTCGCAACCAGATGCTTAAATACGTGGAGTCATCTAAGAAAATAAAGAGTCATTTGAGAGATGCGCGAAAATACCTGGGGATGGCACTTCATGTTCTACAACAGTTCTATTCCAACACCGACTGGATCGAACTCGGTCACACAGAGCCCTGCCATGCATTCGGTAAGTTTACTACAGAAGGCCTCTGCCAGAGTGAAGCTTAACGGTGTACAAACGAGTCTCTGGGTGGCAGGCTGGCACAGTGGTAACATGCCTCACAGAATGAAGGGCCTGTTCTGCATGGGTTTCCTCCGGGTTCTCTCGTACAATGTAGCTGGTTTTGGAAAGAAACAGTAGTGCTAGTACTGGCATAACATCCCGATGCTGAAAATGTACCTGCAAATTACTTAATTGGGATTACACACAGCGGCAACATCGCCCCTAATTTTGAAACTTGCTGGGACCCATCTGAAATAAAACGGCTTGAATCTTAGTGAGGCTTTCCCTCATAAACAAGCTTAATAATAATAATAAAATACAATATATTGCTGGGACTCTAGCCCAGCACTGGGGTGGTAGTGGGGGTCGGTAGATCACACACACGTTGTGAACTCCCTTCCCGTGAGTGTTGGGGAGCCATAGCTTGGCTCGCCAGGACTAGGCAGTACAGCAAAAGGACTAATTGCCATCTCCGGGTGCTCCACTTTCCTCCCACTTGTATAATATACGCTCTGTAGTTAGCTGAAAACATCTTAATAAAAACGTAATGCAGTACTCTCCTGCAAAATCGTCATACGACTCACTGTGGCTCTCCTGGATAAATGAGTATATTATTATATTACTCATCATGGGCCCTATTGGCTACTCAAGATGGGTGCTGATGACTTCTTGTCATCTCCACTTGAAGACGATTCCCAGGTCCGTGGAAGGAGTGATTAAAACAACATTCTCCTGTGTACTCTTTTTCAAATGTCAGTGATGTTGTCTCTCCCTAAACTCAATACTGTACTTTACATGACAATAAGGCTGAATATACTTCAGTGACTACAACCAAGTACATGCATGCTAATAACTGATGGAGGGAAATATATTCAATGGTTTAAGTGTATTGGATCTGTATTTTTGAATTTCACGACTTATTTTCTCTTATTCATAAAAGACGTTTGTCCTGGATCGTGCAAGTAAAATGTGTGTCATGAATCCTCCTCCACCCAACACACCCAATTAAATAAGATACGTGATTAACCGTGCCAATGTATTACAGCTTCAGAAGACCGGTAGTGTTGATGGAGACCGATCCACGCACATTTAACAATTACTCTCCAACATGCAGGTAGTGCTGAAGCAGTAATACATTCTTCACGTGGCAACCTTAATTTATGGGTTGTGTTGGGTGGACGAGGGTGTACAACACGTATTTTACTCAGGGGATCTGACCCAAAATTCAATTATGAATCATAATATTGGTCACGAAAGCCTACATGTTAATTTGTTTGTGTAACACAGGACATCCAACCCAGGAACTTAAGACGGCAGCAATCCAGCAGGCCACATGCAACGACTGCTTCAAAAATAAAATGCAAGTGGCATCCCCCCCACCCTCCCTTGCTCATTTTACCTCCAGTTCCAGCAAACCTATTCAGCCCACATGCATTTCACATGTTCACTTCATTATATTTCCAAGACACGTCTCCAAAGTCATAACGCGTGCCCTTAACCCGTTTATTAGTTGGGCCTCATAAATAGAACGCGCAGGATTTTGTTATTCATCAAATGACGACTAAAATTTCCCGAACGCTTTAAATTTCCTCCTTCAATGACACGATGAAGGTCCATTGGCATTAGTGATGAATGAGGTCGGGTGGTGAATGACGATCGCCTTAACAAGTCGATCTCACCACAACAATCACCCCATTGTGACGTCCACATCGTGTCGTCTTTCGCTCGGTGACTAAGCCAGCTGTGCAGACAATCTGCACATTGATGTTAACATCAGAATCTAGCAACAGAGTTGCACGGTGGCAAGTTGTAGCCTTTAACAGCAGGTTAAAGCTCAAGTTAAACGATGCAATGCAAAGTTGACGTTCATGTTCCTGCTCAATGTTACTGGATTAATTGGTGCTCCTTCTTTGCCACTGTATTACAGTACAACACATATTGCACATCAATAACTCACGGCCCACATCAGCGTTGATGATTAAAGAAGGGGCAGTGGAGCCCAAAAGGCCGGCCTCATGCCCTCTAGCCTGGGGGTCCAGTCTCGAGTGCCTGGTGGTCCAGCCTAGAGGGTCTGGCGGTTCAACCTAGAGGGTCCAGCCTAGAGAGCCGAGGGGTCCAGTCTCGTGGGCCTGGGGGTCCAGCCTAGAGGGCCTGGGTTTCCAGCCTAGAGGACCTGGGGTTCCAGCCTAGAGGACCTGGGTTTCCAGCCTAGAGGACCTGGGGTTCCAGCCTAGAGAGCTTGGGGGTCCAGTCTCGAGGGCCTCTGGGTCCAGCCTAGAGGGTCTGGGGGTCCAGCCCAGAGGGCCTGGGGTCCCAGCCGAGAGGGTCTGGCGGTTCAACCTAGAGGGTCCAGCCTAGAGAGCCGAGGGGTCCAGTCTCGTGGGCCTGGGGGTCCAGCCTAGAGGGCCTGGGGTTCCAGCCGAGAGGGCCTGGGGGTCCAGTCTCGAGGGCCTCTGGGTCCAGCCCAGAGGGTCTGGGGGTCCACCCTAGAGAGCTTGGGGGTCCAATCTTGAGGGCCTCTGGGTCCAGCCTAGAGGGTCTGGGGGTCCAGCCTAGAGGGCCTGGGGTTCCAGTCTAGAGATGCTGGGGGTCCAATCTCAAGGGCCCCTCCTACCAGCCTAGAGGAGCTGGCGATCCGGCCTAGAGGGTCTGGGGGTCCAGCCTAGAAGGCCTGCAGTTCCAGTCTAGAGGGCCCGGGGGTCCAGGAGCAAAATGCCGCTATTTCAATCTGTAAATCAAAAAATATTAGAGGCATTTTATGGAAGGAAATAATGTGAAAATGGTTAAATAAAAGTGCGTAATTGTATTATTACACATCTAGATGATCACATGTGAAGTGACGCACTCAGAGACACTAGGAGTAGGAGGCACTCTATTTCTTATCAGCCTTCACAGGTTACAAGAGGTAACTACAGCTCCCAGTCAGGACAGCTGGCAGACTGCCTGACTGACGACGCTGAGAAGGTGAAGACGTAGATGGCGACGAAGTCTCCAACGGCACGACGGGATCCTACTCCAGGCAACAGCCACAAGCCTTCGCTCGGAGTCCCCTTTTATCCTACCAGCATGGCCTCGCTCCGCCCTAGCCACGCCCCCTTCTAGAACCTACTAGCGGGTTCCCGGGCTTACCTCATGTGCCCCCTTTATCACCTTTCCTCTACATCCCTCTCTCTGGCGTATTACGTGACCTGCTGACAGACAGGGCTGCTGCAACTGCAGGTCCCCTTCACTGCCAGCAACCAGTGCCATGCTACGTAGTGACCCATTCCATGTCACTACACATGCATGGAACACTGTCTGCTATTTTGAAATACAGCCTTCACGTTGTCATGACAGCCCACATAACATTATTTAGCCAATAAAAGTGCTGCTGCAAGTGCAGTTACAGAGATCAGTGGCATTGCGAGTTGCACACCTACGCGGATTTTAACAGCGTTGTTGTGTGTGGGTAGCATGTGTTGGGACCCATGATGAATGGAACAATGCAGAGAAAAGCCATTGTTGTTCTTGTATTAACTTTACTGCGAGGAAGCTGCACAGTTTAACTTCAGTTGTGATGTTCCCGGCTCATGAAATCTATGCAGCTTTGAGTAAATCCCAGAGTAACAACCCCGAGCTAGTTGCATAATGTATTTTCTCTGCATGAGCACAAAACTGATTAACCAACTCCAACATTAATGAATGCCAGCATGGAAACCATAAGTCTCCGCTGAATATCCCATAATTATATTGACTCAGATTATTACTTTGGCGTGTCAAATTACAGTTTTAATTATATTAGTTTGCAAATATTGAACCAATTTTGATAGGTTTTCTCATAGATTGAAAAACTTGGCAGTGTATCATAGAGTCTGCGTTGTCTGGCAATGTATCATAGAGTCTGCGTTGTCATTTATAAACTGGTCGATAAATTTGCTGTTATGTAAATAATTTCGTGTTTTTATGTTTCTACCAGGGACCGCGATGTTTATGATTGCCCCTGGAACGTTTTGCCAAATGCTCCGTTAACGAGCGGCTACAAGCATGGAAATGAATGCCAGAGAAAACCTAATGGTGTGAAAATTCACATTTACACCCACAAACCTCGCTCAGTACTTGATACCAGTTACTCTGGCAGACATAAATGTCTGTTGGAGACTACATACCGAGCACTAACACATTTAATTTGCAAATCTGCACCGTATTATTTAATCGGTGAACACATCGTCATGGCATTCAGTATTAGTGACGATACATGTAAAGTCACAATGTTTACATTATAGCAAGAAATTGCTACTCAACATCAATTATACTGTTTAAAAAATAAATGAGAACAATGGAGACATGTATTCTGCCTCATTCTTCAGTCCTGTACTTGCTTCACTGCAGGAAAGTGCAGCCACGGTGGTAAAGATGACATCTGGCAGAGTGTAAGCCCACGAGGTGGAATAAACAAGGAGACACTGGACCCACAACTATCGCCACACCACTACCTGCATGGACGCGCAGGGGAGATGGCTGTGCAGGCCACGCGCGACTTCTTAGTGGCACCAAGTAAATAAATTATTCACCATTCATTGCCTTAACTATGTGATGTAATTACCATTGTGATATCTATTGTAATGCTTGTCTGTACATTTGCTAACTTTAGTAGCTAAAGATGGCCAAACTATACCACTGGAGATTGTAGAATGTTGTTCTGGCACCGCACACACTGCACGTGACGTCTCATGCTTGACCAACACGTGTGCGCTTCGTGGCATCAATGTTGACAATTAAATGTTGCCCGGCAGCGTGGCGCAATGGTCGCACTGGGTTCAATTCCCGACTCGGGCGCCTTTCAGTGTGGAGTTCGTATGTTCTCCCCTTGTTCTGGAAATTACCTAATTGGGATTACAAATCAAAATCACCCCCTCACTGTGACAGATTGGCAGGACCCTCCTGAAAAAGTCTTGAGGATGGATGAAGCTTTCCTGGGTAAACAACCAAAATAATGAATAGTAATAATGATAACTTTGAATTTGTTAAATGTTGATCATTACTGATATAAAGATACATGTCATTTAACTTAGGCCTAAACGTGGAGAAAGACACATGTAGAAAGACAACTGTACTTATTTATATATTTGCTCTGTTTTAGGGAGGGCAATTCCTATGATAAACCATTGTAGGTGGACATTGGCACAGTGTGTGTGTCTTGTTTGTTACTGTGATAACCATGGAATACTGTTCCCACACTGTTCCAATGTTCACACTCTTGCTTTCTCTGACACATGTGTATCTATATAAATGACAGGGGCGAAGCTGCACTTTCCCATTGTGGTGGGGGATCGCAAAGTCCAAGGTCACTCAGTCCTTTGCAGGATGGTTCTGTTCCTCTTTGAGCCTTTCTGCTTATCGCACGACATGCACACTTACATGGACACATGCGTTAGAACATGTCAGACCTATCCTGGGCTGTTATGTGGACTGCTTCTAGAGGCAGGGTTTGTGCTGTGACATCAGGATCTTCTCGACCTGTCCAAAATTAAAAGTCAGTGATGATTGTAGAGAGGATTTGCACTCCGCTCATTCCAGAGGGTGGAATGTCCAATCAGCTCATGAACGTTGAACATTAACCAGGGCAGCAAGCTTCCTTCCTCAGAACTTTCCACCAGCATTCTGATCACTACATGCATTACTCAACTGAAATGCATCGTTCTCATTCATGTAAGTTATAGTATTGGTCATATTGAAATACCTGCAATGTTCTTGACTGTAGAAAAACCCTGTTTTGTCTCGTGTGATCGATGCAGATTGGGGCATTCTGTCAACCTTGGGTTTTGAGAAATTCAAGGAAGTCTTTAATCTTCCAGGATACTCGCTTGCCTTCGTCCTTGATATCACAGGCAGCATGGAAGAGGACATTGAAAATGTCCATAAACAAATGGAAATAATAGCTGACTCCTTACAAAACAGCCCTGATGCCCCAGAATCATACATCCTCGTGCCCTTCGGTGATCCAGGTACACGAGCAAAGATTCACAAGTTCCCTCTGATAGCACACTATCTACCTATTGGGTAGAGGAGTGACACTGCTTCAGATTGTTTAACCTGTGCATTCTGTGCTCTTTCCCATGTAGATGTTGGGCCAGTTTTTAAATTGGAAAGCATGCAAGACATTATGCAAGAAGTGCAGAACCTTAAAATTGGTGGTGGAGGAGACTGCCCTGAGATGGCCCTGAGTGGTATGATGAGAGCACTGGAATTTTGTTCTCCACGGTAAAGTTCTTAATTGATAGCCACAAATGACGTTAAAGCGTTACAGTCATCAATCGTTCAGAATTGCGACACTAGCTTTGCTCGTCAGAACATTACCACAGATTGCAACAGTCCAACAATACGAGTTGCATTACATATTAAGCTCTGACTCAAAACACCTAATTAAAAACATATTACTTGCAATGTTATTCTAATAAAATGATCCAGTGGCGTAGCTGTTGAGTGTGCAGGCGGAGCCACTGCACTGGGGGGCCCTGGGGGACAATGCGCTGGCTACCCAAAGTGGGGGGAAATTGACACAGGGTGCCCTGAATTTCATTCGTTGCACCACGGTCCATACCAGCCACGCTGCACCACTATACGTTCAATGCTGACGGATCATTCTTAAGTTGCCGAACTGTATACTAAACATACCAGCTCACCAACCGGTGTCCATTTTTACACCCACACCTCTGATTAGCACGATTGGCTACATACAGTGCAAAACAATTTAAACGTACATACACAAACCATGACGTAATAATAAAATAATATCTGTACCTATTATATTCTTGGTTCTTTCGGTAAAGTCATGTAGAAGGAAAACAATAAAATAATAAAAATATAAAACAATAAAATTCTCACGACGTTTCGACTGCAACACAAGCAATCATCATCAGGTGTGAAAATCACAACAAGAAAATATGTTGTTTTATATTTTTATTATTTTATTGTTTCCCTTCTAAGTGACTTTACCGAAAGAACCAAGAATATGAATCCCTTCAGTCACGAAAGCTTTAAATCAAAATCTGTACCTATTACGTTCATTTGATTAATATTTACGTGTGGGTGTCTTAATTTACACTAAATGTCAATGTGTTGATTATTAGCAGTGCGAATATTGGTTCTACCCACAGCTCACGACTGTATCTGATCACGGATGCGGGGGCAAAAGATGAAAGCGAAAGAGATAAGGTGGAGGATGAGATTGCTAAGAAGGAAGCCAAGGTGAACATCATCAACACTGGGGAATACTGTGAAGATGATGACCGCAGAAAACGAAGCCTCCGTCAAAGTACAGTTGTGCATTGCGTGCATCCGCATACATTTCTCGCGTGACTTTCTTAATTTCCTTTATGGGTTCACTTATATGTTCTTTTTCAAGCACTCACTGTTTATCAGAATGTATTTCCCATGAACTTCAATCATTTAGCTTCACTCATTGATTCCTCCACCCATATTGAGGACTGGGTCTGCTAAACGTTCAGCCACGACACTGTGACTAGTTCACTACCATTGTCCCTCTTTCCCGACCTATCTCAACCTTGCTAAATTCAAGCAACGTGTTAAACTCTTTCTAACTTTGATGGTGTTATTTGTTGCTGACTGCTTGTGAAGTTAGGCCTTTGGGCCTGCCCTCAGTAACTCTGTTAAAATATATATTAAATATGTTAGTTGACTTTTAAATTACTCTTCAGCTTTCAATTTATTACACGTAGCATATGAAGCGTTAACTAAAATAGATAGTGTTGCATGCACGTACAGGTTTCTTGGTTCACACATCCAACCACTTCACTTACGCTCTGACATGTCCCCGCGCATCAATCAACTTCCATGCAGAGCGCTCCGCCGCGAAGAACGTGTTTGAGATCCTTGCGGAATTCTCTGGCGGCTCGTACATACTCACCACCAAGGAGAAGCTCCCCGGCGTGCTGGGCAGCATGATGCTGGACCTGAACGCGGCGCCCGTCACGCTGCTGCGCGTCTCCTCCGCTCCGCCCGGGGATGTGCGTTTCTCCGTGGAACCAACACTCGCCGAGTTCGCCGTTTCAGTTCGTGCCCCGGTGGACTTCGACGTGGAGCTCTACCGGCCCTCCGGTGACCCTGCCTCTCATTGCCAACCCTCCATTTCCCTTCGGCAACATTTCCTTTTGTGTCACTCTTGAGGAGTGCCCTGACCGAGAGATGTTGCATCACTCCTACAATTACAGATCAGTGCGTAACTTTGTGGTCGGTTTCTTTTCGAAGGATTTCATTGCTGCTTTGACACTTGTGAGGAACCCACGTCCTGTTAGTGCACTCGCATATGCAGTTAAATAAGTCCGTGCAATTTTTTTCTCATAACTTAATAAGAGCATTGTGTTTTTTAAACAGCTCTTACGTAAATGTTCCAATATATAAAATGATTACATTATTATTTGCACCATTCGGCAAATAATGATGTTACTTGAGTGGTGACGCTGCATTGGGAGTGGTGCACACAAAAAAAACTCCACACACTCATTAACAACTTTCCTGCCACGTTTTGAGCAATGGCTCTTCTTCACAGCACCTGAAGAAGGGCCATTGCCCGAAACATTAGTCTACTCTAATTATTAATCGCCAGAGCGGTTTTTGAAGTGTTTTTAACCTCCTGTTGGATGACTTGTGTTTGCTCACTCAGTAATGTATTTATTTGCTCTGCACTGCCCCGCATGCTGCCTAGGTGAGCGTGACGAAAGTGTCGAGCTGCTGGTGGACACGGGGAGTTTCCGCGTGCTGCGCGTAGCCACCCCGCAGTCCGGGGAGTGGCGCGCGCGCATCTTGGGCCCTGCAGCGCCGTACCGAGTTGAGGTGACGGGGAAGAGCATGTTCGACTTCTCCTACGACATCCTGCAGCAGAAGAACGGATACATGTTGCCTGTTGAGGGGCAGCTCGTCACTGGTACAATCGCGGTTCTCTCACCCGCGTCACATCGCGTTGTCAAGGTTACATTAAGTTCTTTCAATCAGAATAAGTTCTACTCTTTGAATAAGTTATATACTTTAAAATGCAGTTTTAAAAACTGATAAGGTATATATTGTGTGTATTCGTGTGTGTACATAATGATGCGTGTGTTTGTGTATTTGCACGTTTTCCTTTTGCACGTAAACGCTGTCTCGGCGTGTGCAGGTGTGTCCTACCTGCTCTGGGTTAAGCCTCTGGGTCTCGAAGCCGGCTACAGGATGACAAATGTGCAGATGCAAAACGCAGACGGTGTGACCATCGTAGAGCTTCAGGCCCAAGACGAGGAGTCAAATGGCGAATTTGGCGTTCCCCTCAACTTCAGTGACTCCACTGTAAGATGCGCGAGGGGAAGTCACAAATGTTTCCATTGTTGAGCGTACAGGTCAAAGACGAGGTTTGTTTTGTAGTCCCATGCTTCAGGTTATCAAGGTCCCTACTGTTGCTATGTTTCATCCTGGTGAAGTGTGGCTCAGAGCTCTGGGCTCCACCTGGGTGGTGTTTGTGCAGGAGCTCCCATCCATCACTGCTGGGTCTGGGCCATCAATGGTGTTGGCCCATTGCGGGCCCTGAGCATAAATTATTATTGGGGCTGCCCAATGTATTAAAATCCTAGTGCAATGACAGAAGAGATATAGACGAGGGATAGAGATATAGTGAGATTGGAGAAATGTAGACTCAAATATAGATGTTCTGAGATTAAAAAAGAGTGATGCTAGTCTGGACGACCGAGGAGGAAACCTCGGCTGTCAGATGCTACTTTTGATATCCTTGGGCAAAATGCTGGTACCGAACATGGCAGAATGTCGAAGGTTGAAAGTCGTATTCTTTGCCAAAGCAAGGAATGATTACGAAATATTCCTTGGTCTATCGCTGACGAAGCTGAAGAGGGCTAACAAAACAACAAAGCACACTCCTCCTTCATGGGACCTCCTTTGCCAGTACCGAAATATGAGAATAGTGTTTTTGAGTGTGTTTTTTTTCATTCTGACCACAAGTATTGTGGTTAATGCAGACATGATTCCTCGTAAAAAAAAGGTTTCAATTTTGTTGCCAGCAAAACGGGGAAAACCCTATTCTTATATTTTGGTACTGGCAAAGGAGGTCCCATAATGTAGATGCTCACCCAGAACTCTCATTACTTTGATAGTGCATTGTCTTTCAGCTGTACGCCTTTGGCGTCCTCTGGTCTAACACCGTTTGAGACGAGGCTCAAAAGAAAGCTGTCTCTGGTGTGGACTAATCAGTTTACTGGACAATGCATATATTATCAGTGTTTTTTTGTTTGCATTCTGACCACAAATATTGTGGTTAACGCAAACATGATTCCTTGTAAAAAATGGTTTGAGTTTTGTTGCCATAAAAAGGGCAAAAACCTATTCTTATAATGTTTGTCTTGTACTGCATATATTTGTGTGTTGGCTTATACTGGTTTTTACTCCATTAATCCTTCTAGAAACGATTTAGAGAAAATGCGTGTTGTGCACACTTCAGACTATATTTACACATCATAAATGTTTGTTGTGCGATACTGCATTGGCAGAGGTACACAGCCAAAGCGCAAATTACAGAAACTCCACACATTTCTCAATAACGCTGCCCTAGAAGGAAAATAATATGGAAATAAGTGACGTTTTGAACAAAGAAAGGATAAGATAATAAGTTTTTCCCCTTTTTTCTGGCAACAAAACAGGTGTTAAGATGTTAAAACACCAAACTGAAACCTTTCACAAGGAATCATGTCTGCATTAACCACAATGCTTGTGGTCAGAATGCAAACAAAAAACATACTCTGATAATATATGCATTGTCTTTGAAACTGATTGGTTCACACCAGAGAAAGCTTTCTTTGGAGCCTCGTCTCAAACGGTGTTAGACCAGAGGATGCCAAAAGGCGAACAGCCCAAAGACAATGCCACTATCAGAGTAATGAGAGCTCGGGGTGAGCATCTACATCATGGGATCTCCCTGATAATGCATTGTCTTTGGGCTGTACGCCTTTTGGCGTCCTGTGGTCTAACACCGTTTGAGACGAGGCTCCAAAGAAAGCTGTCTCTGGTGTGGACCAATCAGTTTCAAAGACAATGCATATATTATCAGTGTTTTTTATTTGTATTCTGACCACAAGTATTGTGGTTAATGCAAACATAATTCCTTGTGAAAGGTTTCAGTTTGGTGTTTTAACATCTTAACACCTGTTTTGTTGCCATAAAAAATGGGAAAACCTTATTCATACACTCCTTTAAAGCCATCCGACGTCTTCCGATTAAACTTGGCCTGTCGTTCACTACCCCCATCGTTAGGGCAGATGGTTTCCCCTGCAGGTGTACTGAAGAGGATTCTGAGAGATAGCAAGAGCATTACCAACGTGCCCTTAACCAGACACCCTCTGATCCTCGCATCGAGCTGCGGAATGTGGCCCTCTACGCGATATGACCCTGAGACAGAGATCGATAGCCTACGTACCCTAGAAGAGGCCGAACGGGCCATTCGGAAGTTCCGTCATGGCAGAGCTGCGGGGTTGGATGATACATCTCCCGATCTGCTGTTGATGTTCTACATAGATCAGCTCCTCCTGCGGGCTTGGACGGCAGGAAAGAAATAATCCTTGTGGAAAGACAGCATCGTTGTGTCCTTGTAAAGGGAAGAGGGCCTCGTGCTCTATGCGGCAGTTACCACCATCTCCTCCTTCTGTCCATGCCTGGGAAAGTCTTTGTCTGTGTGCTGCTGGGCAGGCTGACCCTGACCCCTCTTCTCTTCGAACGCCGATGTCCACGGTGATCTGGTTTCTCTCGACGATGAATGCAGTGTTTTCTGCATTCATCGTCGAGAGTTGCATTACAAGATTGAGCAGAGAAAATCATTGGCATTTTATGGCAGTGACTCTGCCAGATTACCCACCAAGACAAACTTATGGTGTTCATATGAGTGATGTGTTGCTGTCTGAAATGGCTGTTTGCTCCCCACTTAAAAATCATAGCTTCAGGGTGAGGCGAGGAGAAGCTGTCACAAAACCATGATGTTAAGACGCAAGCCCCACCAACCATAACATACACCTCCATACGTGTGGCTTGTGTGTTTGTGTTCCTTCAAAAATAGACTGGTGTTCCACAGACGTGGTGGGCCCCTAGCACTTTACTCAATTGCTGGCCTTGAGTGAAAGATGGAAATGTCACAATACCCATGGTAGGAGTCAGTCTCCCCATAGAACCACTCTTTAAACTTAAAGTAAACAAAAAAAATATTATTTACCAGGTAAAGCCCACTGAGCTATTAGCTCTTTTTCAGAAGCGACCTGGCCACGAATGATCGTTCAACGAAGTGGCTTATGTGGAAATATATAGCAGCCTAATAATCTAAACGCATATTTTTAAATGTGGAGGGAAAAACTAGAGGGCTCGAAGAAAAATCCATGTGACCACGGGGAGAACATGCAAACTCTACATATACAGGCGTCATAGTCGGGATCGAACCAGGCAAGGGGTGATAGCATCTCGCCACCATGGCGCCCCTCTTGGTGGTGACCTCCTATGAAGTGGTGATTCTCATTTTATTGACCACGATGGCTGCTGGGTATCGATTGGAGAATATGCGCAGGTTTGAGACATCGTTGAAACCATTCAGGAAAGCAAGTGGGGCTTGGGTAGGACGTGTCGCGGTTTGCAGTGATGGGCGATTGTCAAGAATGGCGACAGTGTGGGAGCAAGAGGACGTCCACCGGGGAAATGGAGTGATGAAATCAATAAAAAAGTTTTTTTGGGGTTGGGTCGTATAAATATGAAAGTGTCGTTAAACGTGCCACCGCCTGACATAGCCAATTAGTGAGGTTTGTCACGTAAACAAAACGTGCCAATTAGTTACTACTTAAGCACACCGGTGTGTTGGAGAGTAAACCCACAACCTGTACAATTCGAGTACGACATTTCACTGATGGTTACAACAACCACCTTCATCAGGCGATAGCCATAATTGTTGAGACGTCTTCCTGTTTCAGTCTTAAATAGAGGAGTAAAGGTGATGAAATCAGCGCACGTGGCAGTGTTAGTTTATTATTATTACATCGCAGGATCGTTGTTAGATGGCAGCAGCTTGGGGAGTCCTTCGTCCAGCAGTAGATTGATCATGGCAGGTGATGATGATCGTGCAATCGAGTGTAACTCTTCCATGGGTGTACCCGTGTACTCTAGGCAGTAACCACCGTGCCGTTGTGTTTCTGTCCCCCAGCCGTTCATGGTGGCAGTGTGTGGCCTGTCGCCTGGAAACGTCACCTTCTGCCGGCTGCAAACAAAGCTGAAACGCATCGAGAGCTTTGAGCTCATCCTCGCCAACCCAGACGACGGTGAGATTCACTAAAACCACAGCAAACGAACCAGGGGCGGAGCCAGGGGGAGTGACAGGGGTGACATTCTGAGTATAAGTGTACGACACTCGGTCTGGCGGACTCCGTGCAACTGCATTGTCAGAGTGTGTCGCCAACCGATGGCGTCTAGTTCAACAGCCTGACTCTAATCATTATTGATGTTAAAATTTGTTGAATGTCACCCCGGCCTGAAATCCTGGCTCCGCCCCTGAAACGGACTCTCGCACCTTCCCATGACGTGTCTACACACGCAGGATTTACCTTTGGTGTATGCGATGCAAAGGCAATGTGATGTGTTTGTATATGTATTATCAAAATACAAAGTTACACGCTTTTTCCCTACAAACACGACAGACAGAGAGAGTGTGTGGGGGGGGGGTATGGCAAGAGTAAATTAGGAAATACACATGCAATACTGTTTTAGTAATGCTTTTACTTCGTAATAATCGAAACAGTTAATGAAATACACAAGTAATAATTGATGTGTAGATTTTGAGGGAAATAGACAAAAAAATTGAAAACATTGAAAAATGAAAAAAAAAATCCGCTTACGTACATTTCAATTTTTTTCATTTACCTGGTTTAAAACGAATTCAGAGCTGGAAAGTATTTTTGAAGGAAGACCTGGATCAAAACAAGGAGAAACGTAACCGTTGTACATTATAGCAAATGCAGATAAGTACAACACGTATGCAAGTCATTGTATATTGAGAGCAAAAAAAAGCCAATGCCAACAACAAATAATGTAACATAAACTAAATACAGCAAACACAAAGTATTCATAATAGAGATGTTTTGGTTAGATCGTGTAAATATCAATGTGTTGTTAAACCCGCCACCACCCGACACAGCCAACTGCTGCATTTATATTTTGTCCACATAGACTGGCTCGAGAAGATTCTTGAAAATTGAGTTGGTCAGCATCTTTTTCCAAGTGGAATACAAAACAAATAACATGGGCATTGTTTTTAAACCCAGTGTTTTAATAAGGGGGATAATGATATTTTTTTTGGATTAGTTTTACAATGTAAAAGTTCAGCCCTGAAATTGCTTTATCACACCGCAGCTGGTGTCAGGGGATGAAGCTCTAGAGAGCCCCTCTAGGAGGTATTTGGCCTACTCTTCTATGCTGGTCAGAGATGTTGGAAGTGCCCACACTATACCCATAACACGCGAACTGTCGATCGACGAACTGGTGTCGCCATTTACACTGTTGCGTGGGCAGTGGCGGGGAGGAGGTGATGATTTAAGAACTTGCCCCGTTGTTTCAACTTCCGCGCCAGGAGATGGAATCGAACCCGCGACTTCTGGATTTGGAAATTCAGTGCGCTGACCACGACACCATAGCAGCATTAGAGTATAAATGGTGGAATTAATGATAAGGAAACGGTGCCGCACTGCTGTGTATGCCTGTGTGTCGAGGTTAGCGCACTGCTACAAACCCAGCGACCAGACTTTGATTCCCGCTCATGACCACTAATATCGGGAAATACTTAAACCAGCCCCGTGCCTTCCCTAGGTCGAAGCAACCTTAAATGAGTACCCGGTGTGGTATGTAAAGATTAGCACTGGGGAGACAAAGGTGGCTGGGCACAGTGTGAGCCACCCACCCCATCTCGTGTGCCGTGTCGTTCCTTCATCGGTGCTACTCGCGAACAGAACTTGAGCCAACAGTCTGTTAAAGGCTCCACGGGGGATCTTTGTCTTTTGTGTTTCACAGTGATGATTTTGCCGGGCAATGCCTCCCCACTCCTCGTGGTGCTGAAGAACAACGGTGCAGCTGCCACCTTCTTGGTGTCGGCAAGCGACGAGCAGGGATGGCTTCAGACGCTGCACCCGGTCGTGGTGAAGCTGGAGCCTGGCAAAAATCAGACCATGGCAATGAATGTCTCAGTGCCTGCTGATGCCAGATTCCTTGCCAGGTAAAGGATGCGAAATTCTGTAGCGGTTCTTCGGCATTGCAGTTATGGAGGCTGCAGCATCACACAATTCAGGAATAGAATCTTAACGAGAGAGCTTGGGTGAGAGGTGGCTGAGTGGTTCAAATGGTTAATGTCCCGGGTCAAAGTACAGTGAGTCGGCACCATTGAGTTCCTGGGTTCAAAGTTCCAGTTCTCAAATTAATTGAGTTCATAGTCTCAAGCCAAAAAGTAATGAAAGGACAAACAGCCACCATATTCAACTTGGGTTTTTTTTTGCTTAATTTGAAGATGAAAATAATTGGTTCACCAGATGACGGACACTGCAAGTCAATCAGAATAAAATATCTTATAAGAGGACAAAGCTGAGCTTGTAGTACATGCAATGTGGTTGATCACATGACATGCTTGCAGGTCCTGAAAATCAAAACACGTGAAGTTGAACTTTCATATCGTTAGCGAATGACGTCATCAGCTGAATTGCTCATAGATTTTAGCCACGAGTCAAGTTGAAGACTCATTGCACAATTTGAAATCTTCTGAATATGTTTCATACTTTTTATAACCCAGTTTCCCAATTATTCCCATTTGCCTGATTGAGCCATTCTTGATGTGAAAGTGGTGTTTATATAAAGGGGTGAGGTGAGGAAGCCTTCCTTCCATTGCTACTGAATCGTGTCTATGGAAAGTAAAGCCCATATTAAACATAGGAAGCCATTCTGCATGTCCATGATAGCGCGGAGTGGAGATGTGCTTTTTTATCTATTACACGGCGAGTATATATAGATAAGTATCCTGTTTATAGCTTGGTACACTGTAAATAGTTTAGTGCACAATGTATCGTTTCGTACACTCTCTAGTTTAGTACACTGTATATAGTTTAGTACACTGTATATAGTTTAGTGCACTGTGTATAGTTTTGTAGACGTTATCGGCCAAATTGCTAATAGATTTGAGTGAATAGCCAAGTTTATGTTTCATTACAACGGTCACCTGCCACGCCATCCACATTGATATTGTTTTGGAAGAGTGACTGCCCCAGTATGTCCAACTACACTTATGCCTCTGGGTCACCATTGCTTCGAGGTTTTTCTTATTTATAAACCAAACCTGCAGGGTTTCCATGAACCAACCACATACAATTTATGGATTAGAAATACTGGCTTTATACACACACGATTCTCGGTGTGAACGAGAATCGTGTGTGTATTAAGTTCAGATAATCGTCACTGGTATTGAGCTCGGGTCGCCGAGTTCGTAACGGAGTGCGCTAACCACTGCACCATCACCCCCGACTTTAACCCACACGTGCTCTGACCTGCAAGTGCGCCCCCGTTTACTGACGATTGGACGAGTTCCGGTCGAATGTGAAACGCACAGCGAGAAGCTCTAGAAAGTGAGAGCTGTCATTTGACTCCGCCTGTGTCTTTGCAGCACGGTGTACGTGACGGCCATCAGCAAGTCAGGAGGGGGCTCTTCCACCACGCTTGCCATCTCTGTCGCTGTCATTGTCAAGGAAAAAACTGTCAGTTCCCTCCACATTTGTCAATCCCCATTCATCTTTGCAATATGTTGCTAGATCGGCACAATAACGATGCAACGTGTAGATACGTGATTGATATTGGAGCGTGTTTGCAGGAGGATTTTAGAAACTCAACCATTAGTTCAACTTCAAGTCCACCATACCGAATCATTACACTGCGGCAGAATCCCTTTACATGAACTCTGGAATTTGTGCGACAACGTGCGGATTCCTGGTGTATTGCTTTGCGGGCGTGCGTCTCTACACATGGTGACGTGTGCGTGTGCCTGTGCAGACTCCAGACACGGTGTCGCCCACCCTTTGGAAACTGGCCGTTGAGAGCCAGTGCACGACCGTCGGCAGTTGCGAGCGACACACGTGGCAGCTGCAACTGGGAGTGAACGACGACCGGCCGGGCACATTCAACATAACAGTGGAGCGGGGAGATCCCCTGAGCCAGCTCACAACGATCCAGCAGGGGGACATGCTGCTCGTTTATTACAAGTAAAATGTGCTTCTGTATCTTTTAGATAAATATGCAATTGCCATAATGCTATACTTGCTTAAGTGGAAAATAGTCTCGTGTGGATCATTTAAATGAAGGCAAGTATGCCCCTCTTTCACTGGCATATTCGAGCCATGCTAGCCTGGGGCTGTCGCGGTTCCGTGCAAGTCCACCGTGCCAAATCAAAGATGAATGCAGGTTGACAGCGTGGTTTTTCAGTGGGCTAATTGCTGTGTCAGAACCGAACCGTGATCTGGCCTCACAAGGTATCTGAATCTGGCGCTGGCCGGGGGTGGGATTAAATAAATTTGATTATGTTGGCATGTGACGTCGGTAGAACAGCTCGGCTTTGGCAGTGGAAATAAACATGCTGGCTCCTTCTAAGCCATACCAGATTGGTCTGGCACAGCCCTAGAGCAGCCTAGCTGTACAGCAAAAAAAGAGGCAGTGGATAATTGTTTGCATGTCCATATCTATCATGTACTATGATCACAGAAGAGCCCTTCCATGGCTGGTCCATTTAAATTCTACCTGGCACAGATACACAGTGAAGCTGACCAAGCCCACATACAGTATGGTTTACATTTTTTTTACTGACCATTCAGTTAAGCCGGCGATCCATTGCATGCTGCTCAACGAAAATGCTGCTGCACGACTACCTGCGGAAGTCTATTATAATTATTTAGGCGGAATGATGCTTCTTCCACATTTTGCTATTTGTGAACCGTACTTTTCACCACTTGCGCACTATATTCATTCATTCGCCAGTCCGCATAGTGAATCAGTTTCAATTGGGCATGGGCTCGGGCCTGACGCAAAGCAAGGCCACACGTGCAAAGAGTTTCCATGGCGACCCATTCCTCACTCTTCACGTGATATTCCGACGCCCTTTCATAAAAACACACGGTGGTGGAATATCTGCCACAATAAGGGGTTCTGATGCAACGGATCAACTCTCTTCCAACAATGGCAAAATGCATTGCAGACAAAGAGATACAAAAGTAAAGCATGAGGAGAATCATACAAAAACAGAGAAAGAGAAATACATGGATAGGGACACAATGAGACAGGGCGTAAATGGACAGAGAAAGAGACAGACATAGACATACCGAGCAAGTTTTGGGGACCCATAAAGTAGTGGGAGCCCTGTGCAACTTGTACTAGTTGCACATTGCTACAGGACACTGGCTACAGTATCGTGCGTGCTGCTGTGACAGCGTGTAAGTGAAGAGTGCATAGACTCGTGTGTCTTTGTGTGTGTTGTGTGCAGATCTTCGTGCTGCACACCTTGGCTGACGTTGGCTGTGAAAGACGCAGCAGGAAATGTGGCGAGGTTCACAGAAAACCTCTCACTGCCAGTTCCAGAGCCAACCTCTGCTGCAGCCTCTACAATCCAGCCTCATCCTTCAACCCAGCCTCATCCTACAACTCAGCCTCATCCTTCAACCCAGCCTCATCCTACAACCCAGCCTCATCCTACTACCCAGTCACATCCGACAACCCAGCGTCATTCGACAACCCAGCCACATTCTACAACTCAGCCATATCCTACACCTCAGCCATATCCTACAACCCAACCTCATCCTACAACCCGGTCATATCCTACAACTCAGCCTCAACCTACAACCTGGCCACAACCTGCAACCCAGCCTCATCCTACAACCCAGCCACATCCTACAACTCAGCCTCATCCTACAACCCAGCCTCATCCTACAACTCAGCCTCATCCTACAACCCAGCCTCATCCTACAACCCAGCCTCATCCTACAACTCAGCCACATCCTACAACTCAGCCTCATCCTACAACCCAGCCTCATCCTACAACCCAGCCTCATCCTACAACCCAGCCTCATCCTACAACCCAGCCTCATCCTACAACTCAGCCACATCCTACAACTCAGCCACATCCTACAACCCAGCCTCATCCTACTACCCAGTCACATCCTACAACCCAGCCTCATCCTACAACCCAGCCACATTCTAAAACCCAGCCACATTCTAAAACCCAGTTCTATCATCCTCATATCATCCCCACTGAATTAACAGTAAGTGAGCCCTCACACATTGTGATTATATCAAATCCACACATTGCTGTTCATCGCCTTTATGCATATAAGAATTTCTAATAATTTTCCTCTTTAATCCAATTTTTGGAATGGACAAAAAATATGTTTATGTCTGTATGAGGCAAATTGCTACAGCAGCGTATTTCAACTACCAAATGATTGTGTTATCCCCTCATTGATTTATCCGGATACTGAACATGCACCACTCTTCCCACTCACCAGGCAACACGCGATGCCACTCAACAGAAACACAATTCGTACTCACCAGCCATTGTCACCATTGTCACCAGACCCTCACCTGCCAGAAACTTACCACTAACCTTAAATCACTCAAATGATACCTATAGCATTGACATTTACCACACACCCACCACTCACCAGACACTCACTACTCACCGTAACCCAAAGAGTGATGATGGACTGACACCTGGAAGTATTTTGGTAAATAATGATGATTTCGACAGATGCATGATCACTGTCCACTGTTTTAATGATTTATTTTTTACAGTAAATGCCATATTGCAGGCACAATTATCAAATGTATCTCGCCAAAATGTAGCTGTAAAAGCACGTCACCAAAATAAAAAAAACATCCGATGGCTTATTTGGGTTCAGCAACTAGAGCCACCGGTATAGCTCTGGGCCACAAAACATTCAGGAAATATTACGTGGCAGGGATCGCTGGCATTCATCACATACAATCGTTACCACACCATCTTTCAATCGTTGCTCCTCAAGTGTCATGGCAACTAGGATAGTGACTAACAATCAGATCAGTGTGGTCACATGATTACCCGAGGTTTTGTGCTCTGAACAGCAATGAATGTTCATAAATACACATTAGCACCTCCGATTAATATGGTTGGCTACACGCAGTGCGAAAGAAGTAAAAATACACAAATAACTTTGTCACACTTTACCAAAAAGCTCGCCACCATACTACTGACTTACCAATAGTTAAACCTTTGCACCCTTAACTGATTTTTCAAAACTAAACATATAGCTTCATTAAAACATATTTTTGTTATAATTTCCTTTGATATGCTAGCGGAAAGATTGTTGTGTTACAATGCGGCCCATCTTCGCATTGTCAAGCAAGATTTTCTTGTTCTTCATATATTGTTTACAAGGTGCTTTGCAGTTAGAGTGCAGTTTTTGGGTTTGGGCTGGAATGCTCGCCCTAGGTTTGGTATTCCTCTGAGTTTAGTTTCAGTTAATTTGTATTCGATGTTTTTTACATTCAATCACAATTTCCATATATTTTTTATATACATTTGGCTTAGAAAATATTCTGGAAGAGCACTCTGTATAATTATGTTCCTGTGCATGTGCTAACCTAGCTCCTTTAATATCACGACGGTTGATGCATTTATGCCATGGCCATTATCAAGTATCCATGGCTGCTTTGACTAAATGTCAATTTCGAGCAAATAATTGCCATAAAATGCCTTCGTGTATCGTGCACTCCAGCACTCAACAGCGTTCCTGCCCGGCTGATAACACTTAGGAGGCAGAGCTAGCAACGTCATGACATCACAGCCACATTATACATCACAGGCACACTGGCTGACCACGGTCACTGTCATCTGAGCGTTCAGCCTTGAGGGCCACGTTCCCACGGCTCTGCTCCATGACGCTGCCTACTGAGACACCGCTGTCTTTGCAATGAGGCTGCATCCTCAGCCGTAGGTGATTCGTACTGCTTCTCCTTGAGGGGGTGGGGAGAGGGTGAATAGTGAGCCCAGGGGCCTGTTAACGAGAGCTGGCTGACTTGGAATATCTGAATCTGCAAGGCGCACAAGAAGTGTTCTTATAATTTTAATAATTATAATTGAGTACATTTAGTATTCGTGCCATTATTACAGTGCGTGGCTTCCACAGAGGCGTTACGTTCCAGAGATGGATATAGTCCACCAGTAGGGAGTGATATTGCTACGTGCGTTATTTTTTGGTCATTTTTCAAATTTTTAAAATTGGACCGAGACGCAAGCACACAATGACCGACTGATTTTGAATTCGCTAACCACTCGGCGTCTGCTGGCCCATGTCAATTGCCCTAGTTCTGGTGTTGTCTGGCATAGACTGTGCCCAGCCAAAGCTCACCAGTGTTACTTCCTACCAGTTCACAGCTAAGGGCCATTTTACATTCCCTCTAAAGCAATGGTTCTTCATCTTTACTGCAGCCGTGCACCCCTTTAGTTCTCAATCGTAAACGTTTTATGTTAAGAAATACATAGGTTTGATGAAATAAAGTAGTTATACTTATCTGTCCGAACTTAATGTGTGTTTCGGTGATTTGCTTTTTAAAAATCTGGCCGTGTCTCACACCCCCAGAAAGAGCATCTCGCACCCCCAAGGGGATGCGTGCATCCCAGGTTAAGAACCACTGCTCTAAAGGGTTCCCAACATATGCCCATTTGTTTATCCTTGCAGGAAGTTGTCATTTGTATTTTGACGAGATAGAAATTCAAGTTGAATTGAAAAAAATGTATTCCCAAATTATCCTGTGCATGAAAATAGTTATGTTACATGTTCTCGGGTCCTACCACAAGATGTTTGGCATGATGTCCGACATTTTGCTCCGTGAGCTGGTAGCTTCTTTAGGAACTGAACCCAAAACCTGCACACAGTCATTCCTCAATATCTTCCATTGTTGACAAAACATTAACTGCACCTTGCAATATTTTTAAAACTGAATTTTGCATCAATGAGTGCCTCGAGAAAACCTGAATATGTAACGCTCGTTTGAATGCATTATCTATTTGTTTTACCCATATACCATGG